AAGAAACTCAGCCCACTATCCCTCCAAGAGCCTGAGTTTCTCTCATTCCCCAGAGAGCTTACATAGCAGGGTGGGAGGAGGCATCCCTCACACCACTCCAGGGCTCAGCAGCTTCAGGGGGTGCAAACCGCAAAGGTCCTAGAGGTGGCTTGGCAAAAGGAATTCCCAGGAAAGTGTGGACCTCCAAATTGGTGCCCTTCACATGCACAAGGCTGCCGCGCACCTGTCCTGTGTTTGTGGTCCGGATGGGGCTGGCCGTGTCCTGAGCTGTGGGCAGAGAGATGCACATCAGGGCTGGATGTCCCCATTTAGCTGCCTCACACAGTGGTTACTGCTACCTCTTTGTCACTCTCAGCTCAGCATTGCTAGGGATGCTGATCTGCAAAAATGTGCTTCAGACACATTTTGGCTGTTATATTCTCCTTCCATACTACACCATCACCATCACTGGGCCTGACTCCAACTTACCCAAAAGAACCTTAGGGTGTCATAGGATCCTCCATCAAAGTTCTTATGCATTTATGGGTAAGAGATTTCTCTGTCCTAACTCTGCCAGGTCCTGTGTGACACTGGGAGGATTCTATTAAAAAGTCTCCCATCCTTAAAGGTCTCCTGCTTGAGGAAGCATACCTGAAGAAAACACTTCTCCACACCTCCATACTAAAAGGCATAGGATGAGGAAAGCTATGAGAAAGAGATGCACTTGTGACCAAACCATAAGTCCATCTACCTCTGGCAGGGGTCTGGAGGAAAGGAAACAACCTACCACCTAATGGTTCAGAGGACAAAATGAGGAAGTCCAAATGCCCATTATTGTTGAAAATAGATGATGGACACATAGTGTTCGTTAGCTCTCTTCTCTCCCTTATAGGAGGCCAATCAATGCTGTGCACCACTCAGTCACCCCAAACCTATCTGTGCTTCAGGGTGTGAGGATGTTTCAGTCATGTAGGGAGGCATCCATGCATGCTCCCCTGCAGCTGTCATCTCCACCAGGGGCCACCTCCCTCCTGCTATCTCAGGTTCTTCCTCTGGGGCAAAATCCACACAAAAAGTTAAACAGCACTGAACATTATGGAGAGTTAATACTCCCATCCACCCCTATCAGGGCCACAAGAATCAGTAAGTCTGATGACACATGGAGCAGCTATACACAGGGTAGCAAGGCCAGGCATGGAAGTACATGCCTATAATCCCAGTGCTGATCAGCCAAGAACAGGAGGAGCACTATGTGTCCGAGCTGCACAGTGAGACTCTCTACCAAATACAATAAAAAGGGTGGCAGCCACTTACAGGCACCAGAAAGGACAGTTTAGCAACATCTTACCAACTCCAAAGGTACACTTCTCTCCTTGGTAATGTGCCACTTACCAACACCTTTTGAAATGACATCTCTGTCCTTATAATTAACTGTGGCTGCCAGACACTGATATCTGATATTTGTTACAACACAAGACAAAACCTGATGCAATGTGCCAGTTGGGAGATTGGATACACACATCTTACATAGAGTTCTGGGCACAGCGTGTAAGACTCTATGACTTGATGTTCTCTTTGGAGGAGCCAGCAGGTCTGAATCAGTGAGTATGAGGTGGACCTCAACCATGTACCCCTTTATTGCTCCTCAACAATACTGAATATAAATCCAAGCCAAAAGATTATTTACAAAGGAGCCGTCAAAGAGATTTAGCTAGTCTTCAAGCCTAGAAGTTTTGGTGCCCACCAAGAGCCTGGTCATTAGCAGGTAAGAAAGGAATCTAGCAGGGTGTTGCCCTAGGGCAGAGTTGAGAGGTGGCTCCTGGACAGACTGTAATGGAAAAGGAAAAAGGCAGGCTGCCAGGTCCTAAATCAGGAGGCTTTGAGCGACAGGGTCAAAGGCCACAGTTTCACCCTGCACATGCAGCCATATGGTATCAGCTCCTGATAAGAACCTGGGGACTATCTGGAAGGTGAAAAGCACATCACCTTTACCCTGAAAGCCAAGCCATACATTTGCCCAAGGTTGGGATATGGAATAAAAGGAACCCAGAGCTCTCAGCTCAGCTTTGAGATGTGGTACCCAGTGGCTTGTGCTTTTCAGAGCTAGTAAATTTGCCTGAGGCACCTTCAGAAGATTCCAGGGTAGCCTCTGGCAGAGGTGGCATCATGCTTAAAACCCAGTGCCTTCAGGAAGCAACTACTGTCATTATTGTTACACTTGAAGGCCAGCATCAGCTATAGCCATAGCTACATTTGCACTGAAATGCCCAGAATTCCAGATCCTTACCAGGAGGCTTCTGACCTAACTCTCCAGTACTCCTCATAGCCCTCAGGCTGGATTCCCTCTGAAGTGCTGCATGTCCTTAACTCTAACAAATTCTACTCTCTCAATGCCAACCTTGAGCACTTGCCATTTTGGGGGGTGGTCAGGAGGCACTGGATTCCCACACTGTAGTTTGACATTTCCACAAGCTCCTCCCTCCCTGGAACTTTGCTTCCATATTCTCAGGCTCTACCTCTGCACTTTGCAGATGAGACACAGTCCCTACCACCCCCTACGGGGATCTTACCCTGGCCACAGATGAAGAAAAGCAGGAGTCCACAGACCACAGAGTTCAGCCAGGCAGGAAAATTGTCCATCCACATGTCTATTTGCAGTCTAGTTTCTGTTCTGCTATGGAAGGAGCTGTGTTTCGCAAACAAGAAACAGAAGAATGGACTGGCTCTGGCTGCAATTCAAACTTGGCAGGGAGTAGGTGGAGAACAGAGTAGGCAGGGCAAGGTAGAGAGCACAAATGAGGTAGGCAGAACTACAGGGAGCCAGGAGGCAGAAGGAGGAGCATAGCCACCTCCCTTGCTTAGGCTTTTTCTCACTTCCTCAAAGATATCTCTTGTCCTCTGAAGTCCTTTTGAGCTACCAGGAAGTCCTCTTCTCATAACTGAAGTCACTATACCTATTGTCTTTGCAGTCACAGCTGGAAGAATATTGAGGGTGAAGAGGAGAGAGCAAGATACCATAAGTGGAAAACTCATGAGTGCTGCTTAAAGAGTTGTGGGCTAAGATATTCCAAGGATGGGGGAAACCAAATTTTGCTGTGGAGACTAGAATGGCTTAGACTAGGCATGGAGTTGTGATTGTGTTCATCATCCTGACAGCTCCTCCATGGATTCCACATTGGGACTAAAACTATATATCATCCTGGGTGTCACTTCAGAAGTCTGTCCTCCCTTACTGTCCAAACTCTGGGAGTGAATGTTTTTCCTTCTCTTTCAGTCTCTAACCTACTTTTGAAATACACAGGTGAATGTGGCACGTCTTAGTGAGCCACCCAGGTAGGAGCAGGGAAAGGGTTTCACTGCCCTTTCTCTAGTTGAGGTAGTCCTCATTTTCACTTATCCACCTAACAAATAAGTGAAAAGTACATACTGGATCAAGAATCATGCTCCTGAAAGCTGATCCCCAGGCCTATTGTTCTACAGGGCAGGCAGGAAATCACTAGGGCATTCCAAAATACAGAGAACCCTGCCAGGATAGAGGGAAGCCAGCCTGGACATCTGAGTGCCTGCTCTGCCTGACTTCCTGGAGACCTGGGTGTGGGACTTAACCACAGATTTCTCCACCGCTCCTAAGTGTCCTAGGACAACTGGCCTTGGTCTCAATATATCTGTTCCCATTGGGCCCCCAAGGCGCAGCATCACGGGAGTTCCTTCTCATTATCCTTTTTTTTTTTTTTAACATAAAAGTGTTTATTGAAAAAAAGGGAAAAATGGGGGGAGGACATTTATAAAAGCCTCCAACATTAAATTCTTTTAACATTTTGATATATTTTACCTCAAATGTTTTTCTAGGCACATATCCATTTGTTTTACAAAAGGAGACTATACAATACATACTATTCTGTCATCTCCATTTTATTTAAAAGTATCTCAGGAATTTTTTTCCATGTTAACAAATATATTTCTAAAACATTATTTAATGACTACATGCTATTGTATCACATCAGTATCAAAACATATTTACCCTGTTAAATTGTTTACAGGTTGTTCCATTATAAACAAAACTATTATGAACATACTCCAGCTGAATCTTAGTATACATCTTTATTTTATAGACTAACTTTTCTAAGTTGAAATTATTAATATAGAAGTTATACACATTTTGAAGTTTATCATGTATATTACTGAATTACCCTCTAAAAAAATTGTTTCTACCTGCAATCCTACCAGCAGTGGATGAGAACAAAAGTTTTTGGAGCAAATAAATCCACAAGAGGGATTCTGCAGTTTGTATATATTATTAAATATAAGAGAGCATGCAATGTGTTAATTATTGAAACTGTCCTACCAATTTGATTTGAAACTGTCTCATTGCTATTTGTGTCTCAATAAAACTATAGGGAAAAAGAGGGGACGCAAATGAATGACCATTTTGTATCTGTATATTCAAACTAGTTAGGATAGATATACAGCTACATTCTCTTAATTCAACGAATAAGATTTGTTCTAATAGTGTTTGTGGACAGGATATCATGTCTGCATCTTGTATAATGAATAACCACTGAGACAACAATGTGCAATGTATTTCTTATTAAAACTGTCCTACTGATCGGTTTTGAGAAAAAGATAATACACAGAGTGTCCTGCTCTATTAACAGCTGTTCTTCTCATTATCCTGAACGCCAGTAGTCAGTCTACAAGCTAAAACTACTGATTCCGTCAAACTCGGGCCTGAGGGATGGCAGAGCAAATTGTCCCTAGCGAGATCCCGTAGAAGGCCACGCCTCTTCCTGTTCCCAGGATTTGTGCTGGTTGGAGCGGAAGTATATGGAAACTGTTGTGGACTGTGGCTCGAGGATGGTGGACTTTGGCGGCGGTGGAGGCGGGGTGGGCGGTGGGCTTCTGGAGAACGCTAACCCCCTCATCTATGAGCGTTCTGGGGAGCGGCCTGTGACGGCGGGCGAGGAGGACGAGCAGGTTCCGGACAGCATAGACGCGCGCGAGATTTTTGATATCCACTGCTGCTGGGTCGGGGCGGATTCTCGGGTCCTTGGGAAGGAGCTGTAAAGTCCAGCAGTTGGTGGAGGAGTATCCCGGACGGGCATTCCTGGCCGAGGGTTCTGAGTGGAGAAAAACGGAAAGTCCTTTTTCCTTCATTTGACACATCTTATTCGCTCTATCAATGACCCGGAGCATCCGCTGACACTAGAAGAATTGAACGTAGTAGAGCAAGTTAGGGTTCAGGTGAGTTACTACCAGTGACAAGCGCAGCTTGTCTGGGACAGTCAGATTCCACTATATACAAGAGTGACGTTTTTCAGCCCGTGAACTCCCAGGGGGACTCTTTGAAGGAGAGATTCTTTTTTTTTTTTATTAACTTTATTGAAAATCAATAATTACATAGCATGTTAAAAATTGTAGCCGAATATTGAAATGTGAAAGATATAAGCTGTAAACGGAATGAACTTTCGAGAAATATTTCTGAAATGAATATATAGCATGAGATTAATAATAGATTGCACATAAATTATTTACAAACTTAAATGAATATAATAATAAAAATTGCCCAAAATAAAAACGAAGAAGAAAGAACGTACAGATTAGTCATATAATAATTCACTCTGTGCCAAAATCAAGAAACTTATATTCATATAATTAGTGTTCTCAAAGTAGAAAGGGGTAGGCAATAAATATTTAAAGATTTAAAATTTCTGAATTTAGTTGCACTTATCACAATTCCAAGAAAAATGAATCTTTTGCACAAGAAATTTGATTTGCTTTTTTTTTTTTTTTTTTTTTTTTGTGGAACCGGGGATTGAACTCAGGCCCTTGCACTTGCCAGGCAAGTGCTTATTCCACTGAGCCATCTCCCCTGCACAAGAAATTTGAATAAAATCATACCAACATACACAAAAATGAAATTGTCCAAAACTTATTGTAAAGAGTTCATTAAATCACATACATTAAAAAATTAGCTATAGAAGAACAAAATTAAATAGTGTCTTATTCCACATTAGAAAGAAAAAAAAGGCCAAGTGTGTAACACCAAGTGTGTAATTAATTTAAAGGACTGAAAGAAAAAAAAAGATCTGTCTTTGAATTTTATAGTTAGCAAACATACCCTTTTTTGTATCATTTTATTTTATTTTATATTTTTTTCTCCATAATTTTATTGAGAAACAAATAGCAATGAGACAGTTTCAAATCAAATTGATAGGACAGTTTCAGTAGTTAACACATTGCATACTCTCTTCCTAGTGGTTATTTGCTGTACAAGGTGCAGACATTATATCCTATTTACAAACACTTAGAACAAATCCCTCTATTCATTAAGAGAATGTAACTATATATCTATCCTAACCATTTTGAATACACAGACACAAAATGGACATTTGTCTGTATCTCCTTTTTTGTTTAGTTCCGTCATTTAAATATTATAGGTGTGTTAACTCAGCAAAATATTACAAAAGAGTCCAGTAGTGCATAATAGTATTGGGTCTTCCGCTTCACTGGCAATGTCAGAAATTGTTGACTGGAGTCCCCTACAGCTCAACATAACAGCATGGCTTTACTTCTTATACTTCATTTTTATACTTTTCTGCTGGATGGTTAAGACCAAGATAAAGCAGGACCTATGCAACAAGAGTTGTAGCTTTTGGGTCTGATAAGGTCAGTGAAATCCCCTCAGGATTTATTCTGAGATCCTGTGCCTCAGATTGTAGATCCTCTATCAGTGTCAGCCATGTGGATGCGTCACAAAAATTGACCAATTTGCTCTCTGTGAAAGCCTGAGAGAATATTTTCTCTCCATGTGACTCTCCTTAAGCCAACATTTTGGCCTTAGCCTTGCAAGATCAATTAAGACTCAGGACATATGAGAACTTGTACTGTAACAACATGTAATTCAGTTGTGTCCAAAATTTTCTTTCTATCACCTATAATATTCAAATAATGGAACTTAAAATTTTCTAATCAAGGAGATTATGGGGCCAGTGAGGGAAGAGATCGATGATGTAGAGTGTGCCTAAGGAGAGTCACATGGAGGAGAGATTCTTGTGCCCATTTCATGAATATTGAAACTGAAGCCCATAAAGGCTAAATAACTTGCCTAAAGCAAGAGAGAAAAGACCCTCCCTAAGCGTTGGAGGTTTCCATGGACCCTGATGACTCTTCCTCAACACCACCAGGTTAGTGAGTGATCCTGACAGCAAGGTGGCTATGGCCTTTACACCAACCATGCCACACTGCAGCATGGCCACTCTACTGGCCTGTCCATCAAAGTCAGCTTCTTCCCTCCCTTCCCTGGCCTTTCAAGGTCAGTTGGAATTGAGTGTCAATTGTGAAACAAGTGTAAGGATCTGGTGGTACTGACGCACAGGACAGAGCAAAAAGCTTACGGTTGTTGAGTTGCAGCTAGCAGAAATGAACTGCAGGAAGTATTCCAATTTGATGTAACAACAATAAAGATATGAGCTGTAAAGCAAAAAAGTAGTGAGGAATGTGGCAGGAAGGCAGTTGGGAAACGAGATGGATTTGGGTCAGGGATGGCCTGTGATGTGGATAGAATTGGCATGGCTGTGGGTGGATTTGGGGTGCAATGGAAGAGGGAGTCCAGAGGTGTGATTAGGAGAGTGGTGCATGTTGGAGGATGTGCTCTGGGGTCTAGAGAGAGCGATCAAAATGGTGGATGGATACTCAAGCTCAGATTATCTCCTTGTAGAATGTAATAGACAATTTGTTCTTCATGATATTGTTGAGAGCCCATGTTTAAATGCCCCCAAAAGAGTGGGCCCAATCCATGCCTTCTTATGGTTTCTCAGTGCTACTGAATGAACATAAATCCAACCCACAGACTTTAGTCAGGAGCCCTGGTGGTGGTTGGCCAGATCGTCCAGTTAGAAATCTTGGTTGCTTGAGAAGTAGAATCAAGTGCAGATAAGGGAAGGAGTTCAGCAGTGTAGGCCATGCTGGTAAGATAATGAGGATTCTTTGGGGCAGGTTGCAATGAGCAAGGGTAGGAGATATACTCGGATCCCATTATACATAAAATACAATTACATAAAATGGAAAAAAATGCATAGTCTCAGAAAGAAAAAAAAAAGCCAGTCCATACTTTGTCTCTAGTGAGGGGCACCAAGGGAAGAACCTCTCAGATCATGTTTGGGATGTGATACCCAGAGGCTTCTGTGTCCCTCAATGCCTGTTACAATTCCTTTGAGAGGACCTGGGCCATTTTCTGGCTATGGGAGGTCACATTCAAAGACCAAGGCCAGAGGAAGATACTGCTTTCATTATTGTTACACCCAAGGGCAATCAGCAGCTACAGCCACAACCATACATTCAGGAAGGAGAGGACCGAAATCCCAGCTCCACTGCCAGAAGATGTGGGGCATGCCTGTCCTGTGCTTCTCTGCACAACTCATACCAGACTGCTCCTTGGTGTTGGGTGTTCTCAGGCAACTCTGATACTACTTGCTTCCAGGGTCCTTCCTGATGACTTGGTTTAGGGCATCTGGAGAGCACAGTGCTCATATAGTCCACTGCCACCTCCCATCTCTTCCTTCCCTGACAAGTCTCTCTCACCTCAGTTCCCCTGCCCTTATGCCTGAGGCTTCTGCACAATACTGCACATGTGTTCCCAGTACCTGTGATCTTCTGCAAGACTCTCACATTGGCCCATAGCTAGAAGGATTCAGAGTCCTAAGACTACAGCCCTCAGCAGAGTAGGAAATCAGTCAAGGTCAGTGAAGACTCAGGACATAGGAGAACCTGCACTGTAACATCATGGAACTCAGTTATGCCCCAAATTTTCTAATCAAGATTATGGAACTACAGAAGAATGTGATCAATGATGTAGAGTGTGCCTAAGGAGAGCCACATGGAGAGAAAACATTCTCTCAGGCTTTCACAGATAGCAAATTGGTCAAGCAATGGCCATGACATCCACATGGCTGACACTGACAAAGGATCTACAAAGTGCAGTACAGGGTTACAGGATAAATCCTGAGGGCATGTGACTGACCTTATCAGATACAAAAGTTACATTTTTTGTTATATAGGTCTTGTTTTATCTTGATCATAACAATCCAGCAGAAAAGTATAAAAATGAGGTATATAAAGTAAAACCATATTAATATGATGAGCTGTAAAAGGCTCAAGTCAGTAACTTCTGAGGATAACCCACTACTATTATGGACTGCTGGACAGTGATGGATTTTTCTGCTGAATTCAATCACCTATAGTATTTAGATGCCAATAGAATACCCACTTCTGACAGGACTAAACAAAAGGGATACAAAGGAAGGACCATTTTGTATTTGTATATACAGAATAGGATAGATATACAACTACTTTTGCTTAATTCAATGAGAAAAAAGATTTGTACTAATAGTGTTTGGACAGGCTATCCTGTCTGCTTCTTGTACTGTGCATAACCACTAAGAAGATAACAATGTACAATGTATTAATTATTGAAACTGTCCTATTAACTAGCTTTGAAACTGTCTCCTTGATATTTATCAATAAAATAAAAAGGAAATCTGTCAGCATGTTCAGTTTGCCTATGTGTTCTGTCCTACTGGAGCTCCACTCTGTTTACCCACAGGCAGCCTCCCTGCAGTGTGGCCCAGGTCAGTCTGAACCCAGCAGGAAGGAGGTGGGGCCCTGGAGGGCCAGAGAAGTTGGGCCTGCAAGGGAGTAGCATTGATTGGGCACAGGGCACAGGGGCCCAATAGGCAGCAGGATGGGCGTGGCTGCCTCCCTTCTGCCTTAGCCCTTTGCAGCATCCTTTGAAGCTGTTTTTAAGACACCAGAAACTTCAAATCTGGAGTCACTGACTTCACTTTTTTGCATGACAAGCATCACTGCAGCTGTCAACTTGAGGGAGAAAGAAACTGGAATCACAGAACCTGACAGCACTTCTCTAAGGTGATTTCATATGAGGTCCCAGAGATGGGGCTGGGTACCACCTTTCATGCTGCTGAAGGGAACAACTTGACAGGCAGAGAGGTGAGTCTGCCCATCCTGAAGGCTCCTGTTTGCCTCCTGCAACCATAGTGACTGATTTCCCTTCAAGATTCCTCACCATCCCCCATACCCTTGGTCTGGGGATGTGTAACACCAGTGCCCTCCCTATATAGGGAGGGATTGTTGCAAACACATTAGACACTCTGATAGTACTTTATGGCCCCCTATGGTACTGGAGATTGAATATAAGGCATGGCACTGAGCTAAATCGTTGGTAATTTTTTATTATGAGACAGGGTCTCTGTAGGGTGCTAAGTTGCCCAGGCTGGGCTCAAATTTGTGATCCTCATGCGTCAGCCTTACAGAGCCCTGGGGTGACAGGTATGTGCCATCACACCTGGCTCTGGCACATCTCACAGATCTATCCTATGTCAGTTACTTTTCTCTCATTGCTGAGACAAAATACTCAACACCCAAGATTTATTTAGCTCAAGGTTAGTGGAAGTTTCAGTCTAGTCAGTTGGCTCCAAGGCAGAGTGGCACCAGGTAAATGGTGGCAGTTCATGGTGGAGTAAAACAACAAAAACCAAAAGGGAGGAGCTATTGGGGAAGTTAGCAAGACTCTCTCTCTCCCCCCAGCCCACAATGTATTCAGGCTCTGTGCCCCAGGGCAGGTGTCTCACGCCCCTAATCCCAGCACTGAATCATGAATTAATCACAAATGCCACAAGCTATCCCAATGACTACCTGAGGCATTGGGGTGACAACTAGACGCAAATCATAACAACCCTCTTACTCATCTGCCCTTCTCCAGTACTTTCCCTGAACCTCACTTCTGCCCAAATGGATAAATGCCATAAAGTCATTTCTCCATCTGAGAAACATGTGCCTGAATCACTGATTTCAGAAGGTACCCAGAAGGACACTGCTGAGCCTGTGGTACTGCCAGGCAGGCAGGGCTATAACTGAGCTATTCCAAGCCTGGAAAAGTCTTTCCAGTGAGGAGAACAAGTCTCAGCGCACCCCTGGTGCAGGACCGGCAAGGCTCGCTGGGGACCACTTTTAAAGCACACATTATAGTAATGTTTTAACAGGTTTGCAATGATCATTTATGTGAGGCCCAGTAGTTTCTGCAGAAAACATGAAAATGACAGAAAACTTTAGGAGACAGCCACTGAGGACCTGCCTGGCTGTCTGTCCACAACCACCCACATTTGCCCAAGCTCCGAGGGCAACTGGACGTGACCAGTTGTAATGCTCAAGATAATAAAGCCTACAACTTCTTTGGACAGAACTAAATGAGTGGGTGAGTTGTTTGAAAACGTTTTTTCTTTTTTGCAGAACTAGGGATTGAACTCAGGCCCTTGCGCTTGCCAGGGAAGTGCTTATTCTACTGAGCCATCTCCCTTGCCCCTTGAAAACTTAATGATAGATAACCTTTAATATGGGTGGACAACAGATAGAGACATTTTCAGTAGTTGTCAAAATTGGTGGCTGCCTTTTGAAACTCTAGATATGCTTTCAACCTTGTACCACTACCAGATTCATAAATTGAAAGCTAACCTCTAATTTGAAAGTCCAACAGGCACAGTAAGTAGTGATAAGGGTTATTGTTTACCCCTTCTACCAAGTGTGGTCACAGTGAAAAGGCACCATCTATGAGACAGAACAAGTCAAATCTGCTAGTATGCTGACACCCACTTCTTAGTCTGCTAATCTGGGAATGAATTTGTATTCTTTAGAAACTACCCAGCTTAAGATGCAGTTTTATCTCAGCCTGAACATACACAGAAAGCCTAGCTTTATGAAATCTGGACTTTTGTTGCCTATATAGATAGGAGCACATATGGAATCACTGAGAGGTGAAAAGAACTTTGACACCCAGGTGTGGATAACATTCTCCAAAATAATGCTTTCATTGCAGGCAAGAGTAGAGGCATGATGATCAGGTAAGCAAAGGAAAAGGGGTCCAGATGCAGTGTGGTGGTGAGATACAGAGAGCACTTCCTGGTTTTCATCTCACTCAGTCCAAGAAGTTTGTATTTGTAATCCTATGTGTAAGTTATTGGAATGTCTTGAGTTCATTCCAGCCTACCACACCCAATGCAACCCATGGTGAGAAAAAAGACACTGAGACACATTTGTAGTTACAGGGAGTCGAGGGGTGCTAGGTCCAGCCATGATGATGGCTATCTGGCACAAAGGCCTCGACCCACTGCTGAACCTGGGCTCTATTCATTCATGAAGAAAGGAGTGGCTTGAGGATGAGTGAGTGTGAGAATGGTGGAAGTATGTGAGTGCAGTGAGCTGGGCTAGGTAGGAAGCCTGCATTCCCCTCTGCAACATGCAGAGAAAGATATGCAGAAAGAGTATTCTGCTTACCACAACTGAGATAGTAACAGTTGTTTTGGGGTCAGTGTTTCAGCTTTGATGTGTAATCTTCCCAACCCCAGGAAGTCATACCTTCCATCTCAAGGTTCTAGGCTGGATCCTAGATGGAGAGTCTGGAGCACTGGCTTTTCACTCCCTCTCGACCCAGCTTACAGTAAGGAACAATAGGTGGGAGTTTCTGGGAAATCACACCTGCTGTCTTCAAAGACTATCACCAGCAGCTCAGCTACACTGATATGAATTGCCTAAAGCCAACTGAAGGTATAAGGAAACTAGCCAGCTCTGTACATGTCAATACATTGAAATAAGGTCAGGCTCTGCCACAATGCAGACAGTTGCTTGATTGCCAAGGAGAGTCACTTAGGTGGCCCTCCACAGTGAGGAAGGTGGATATCCACGGGGACTTATTCATCCACAGCTCCCTGGCTGTCTTAATTTTCTTGTTGTTTTGGCTTACAGTTTATAGAGGTTTCAATGCAATAGTTGGGAGGAAGAGGGGAATCACAGAGGAGAAGCAATTCAGGACAGGCAGAAGGCAACAAGCAGCAAGCTCAGCAGCAGCAAGTGACAAGTGACAGAGCAAGCCCCCTTTCTGTTCTTTATATCCTAGCCAGGCTACCCACCCATAGGGGTGAATTGCTCACACCCAGGGCAGGGTACCCTTAATCCTAGTACCAATACATGGATTAATGCCAGCATCACCTACTTGATACCAGCATCACATACCCTAGATCTAGTCACCTCTTGAAAGCCCCAGCTATGACCACATGAGGCTAGAGAGAGACATCTAGATGCAAGTCATCACACTGGGGGATGCAATAATAAGAGGGAGAACAAGGCAGGCTTGGCAATGAACATTATGCAGGGGATTCTCCATTAGTGAGGGCTGAATCGATGGCAGGAGAGTCGACGAATGGTTGTGTGAGTGTGTGGGTATGTGGCAGCAGAGGCAGGCCTGTGTGCACTCAGGCCCACCCTTCTCTCCTACACACAGGGAGTTACAGCTCTTCATGATTCTCCTTAGCCCCCTTCAGCTCCTGGATCTTCTGGGGCAGGGTCTCTGTCCAGAACTTCAGTCTGGAGGCCTTCAGGGCACGGCCCACGGTAGGCTCAATGTCCAGCTGCAGGTACAGCTCCTCACTGTCTAATACAGGCCAGTGGGGCAGGCCCTCACCATTGGGGTTCCTGTGAAGATACCCTCCCAAGAGGGGGTGAGAGGTCAGTCAGAATCTAGGTGAGCACCACCTGAGTGCCTTGATTTATATCAGGACCAACAGCTAAGCTGGCAAGCATGGAAATAAGGGTAACATTTCCTGATACAGAGAACAAAGACATCACACTATTGGCCCCTTAATGGGAGACAGGGGCTTCTAGCCCTATTTTGTCCATCCCTCTTAGAGGAAGGTTGTTACTGAACCACAGCACTGTGGCCCACCGCACCCCCCACACAGGTCACTGGGACAGAGATGAGTGACCTATACTGGCAAGGCCCCTCTGTGTGTCCCCATAATTCTTGGCCTTGCCATGGAGTTAACATGTGATTTGAGGACACCCATAAGCTAAGAAGTTCCCCACAGAAAAGAGGTGTACGGATGGGTTCATGCACCATGTGACTATGGAGGTAGTGGGTATCAGCTCACCCATTTCGTGCAAAGTTGGCCCAATACTTCATCATCCTCCTATGTAGTAGCTCCTCTTCCTCAGTAAACTCAGCTGCAGAGACAAGTAAGACAAAGGCCCAGGTCTTGGATGGATGTTCATCATACTCACCCTGCTGCACACTCATGTACCAATCTCATCACTCAGCTATAGCCTGACCCAGGACATGAGGGTTTCTGTCCTACCCTAGAGCCAGGCCCTCCCCTTGCCCAAACTTTGTTATCTTAGTCTCTAGTCAAACTGACCCAGTCTCATTGCTGGACTATAAGGTCTCCTCTTCCTTTCACTCTGGTAAGTCATATATATATATATATATATATATGCTTTGAGATGGTTCCTCCTGCCCTTCTTACCCAATTTGACAACATATCAGGACGGGCACAGCCGGAGGACAGAGCACTGAGTGGAGTGCAAGGCCTTGGATTCTCATCCTAGTGCAGTCTTTTGAAGTGTAAGATAGCAGGCACTGTTCCTGTCCTCTCTTTGGGACCCAATTTCCTTATCTGGACTCTGGATCAAGTCACAACTCAGGGACCCAACTAGAGCCCCATCCTTGCTCCTGGATGTGAAGGAGACTCACCTTTCTTACCCCACAAGAAATATCCAAAGACGAAAGGAACCTCATCAGCATGGTCAGCCTTCACATGGGGTGGCCTGATGTTTTTCAGGAAGCTGGGGGGATGCCTGAATTCATAGAAGTAGACAGTGCCACGGGAACCTGAGGAGGTGAACAGTTGTGACGTGGTGACCTCTTAACTGCAGTTCTTCTGCCTCATCCTTGGTAGTAAAATACCTAAGTCCAAAGTTGGCTAGAATCTGAAGCAGTGAGGTAAAGAGCCCCACATTACAGCAGGAACAGTGGGGAGGGA